TCTTAAGGAGGTAAGATAAAGCAATTAGTCTCTGCATTTCTTGAAGACTCTTCTTCTCTCTTCACTCTTTTATTCTGAAAGTTATACCAATTTAAATTAAATTTAAGCTCTTATTTATCTACAATTTTTGTTATTGACTTGAGCGATGAATTATATTCTTAAAGACTATCCATAAGGACTCATCGGCCTCTTGTTTTCATTAATTGTTGGCAGTACACTTGCAATAAATATAACAAAGGGTATAACTACCTATCAATATTGATCTCAACATCAACACCAACCTCATAAAATAAGATATCCCATAAATGCAAGGACTTGAAGTTAAGAATATTAATGCACTTGAAAGTCTTTTTTTCCTAATAAAAATTAAAGAAAGCAAACATTTAATGGTTCCATGAAAAGGAAAGTCCAAACAATTTTAATGTTGGCTCTGTCTTTTCCCACTATTCATAAAGCAATTGAAAGATCTCACAACTATTAAATACCCCTAAACAAAAGTATTTCAAGCACTTGCTACCAAAAACCCTAACCAATAATAAGATTTTTCTTCATGACTTCTATTAAATTGATTTCTATAGTGCCATAAAAAGGCTTGATTTTCAAATGTTTATTTAAGTATGGTTTAATTTGTCAAGGCTTCTTTTGGGACAGTTTTCTTATTGTTTTCTAAGACGACTTTCTAGAACAAAAATTTTCAATCTCAATTTTCTTTTGTATTAAAAAGTTGTTTTAGAAAGCAGCTACAAAGCTGTCCCAAACGAAGACTAAACGTCAATGGATAACTAACAGCTAGAAATAGAGGACAAATAGATTTAGTTTTCCTCCCTCCTAAAAGAAGTTGAACATGCAAATATATATACCTTTTCAACAAATGTGTACTTCACCCCAAAACCCTATTCATATGCATTAGAGAGAAACACTAAGCTTGTAAAATCATGCTATCTTAGTCCTTATATTCACACTAATGGCTATTATTCTAACTTATAAGATCATCTAATCATTGGTCAATTACTTCAAAGTTTTCTTAATGTATGACTTTGATTATATGAGTATAGAAATTTATGATTTCAAATTTTAAATAATATAGAGTTTCATATAGCTTGATGTAAAACTATTGATTGTTGATGATATTTAGAATATTTATGGTGGGTGAAATATATGTGTAAATTGACTTTTTATGAGTGTTTTTTTATGTTATATTGATCTTAATTTATCTCAAATGATTTGTATTTGATTAAGTGATTATGATACTTACGAGATCCTATTCATTAACAATTTTTACATTATAGAAGCTCATAATTTTTTAAGAAAAAAATTGATCTCAAATAATTAATTAAGTGAAAGTAAGATGATTAATTTATAAAAAAATAGACATAAGACCAATTATTGATAAATAAGACTCAAAGTCAATTACATATCCAATTATACACAGAGAGAGAGATAATATCCGTTTAAAAAAGATTATTTTAGGTTAGACCCGAATATGTGGCATTTACCCTAACAATCACATATGACATAGTATTTCAACTATAGCTCTTGACAAATGAGCTTATAAAGATAACACTAAAATTAGAAGAAGAAGATCATCCTCCACAAAGATTAAAAAAACATATCCATCACACACACATAAAATGTATAATATTTTTTAATTATAATTATATTTTTATTAAAAAAAATTAATATTATTTAATGAGCCTTTAGTTAGTCATGCATGGCCCTAAAATGTTAGTTAGCTCATCTAATTAAAAAAAAAGTAATTTACATTCTACAAAATAAAATTAACAAAATGGCTCCTTTTTGGTTTTAAAAAAAATATTTTAACCTAATTTAATCATAAACCGATTATATATATGTTAAAATAATTTTCAAAATATTAAGGCTTCATTTGATATAATTTTGTTATTGCTTTGTTTTTCATATTGCAACTATAATTTATATTTTTGGCCATTGCTTTTTTACTGCTTTTAAGAAAATTTTATGTTAGAAAGCAATTTGTTACAACAACTTTTAATTTTTTTTTTTACTTTCTCCACAGCAGCTTTACATACACCTTTAAAAAAAGCTACAGTCATCACAACAAATCATTAATTAATAATAGGCAGAATCAATTGAAACTTGTTGTTCAAATCAATCATTTGGAGTATATTTGTCCACCAATTTTTCTATCAATCTTTTACTTAATAAACTTTATATAATAAGAGAGTAAGAAAATGATAGAAAACAAAAGCATGATCCACAGACTTTTTTATCATTGTTATAGTAATGTAGATAAGGTATGACAATAGCATTTGAGATCCCAATTTAAAAATCAAGTGCGCGATAACACTTGCCATAAATTTAAGCTTCCTCTACAATATCCCTGGCCTCAAAAAATTTGAGATCATAATTTAGATGCCATGCTTGTGGAGGGCAAGATGTTTCAAAGTCCAAATACAAATCTTCTTGATTTAGAATCCTTTGTTGCTCTATTAATTAAAATATTTCAAAATTTTGATATTTTTTTTATTATATTTACATGTAATGGATTGCCAGTTTCTTTTATGAAAATTTTACTGGTTTTATGATATAAAAAATAATTACAAAAAGCCGCTTTAAGAAGCAATAAAAAAATCATTACAAACAAAATCTAAGTATTTTAGATGAAAATTTATATAAAAAAAAAATCTTTTTTTTTTCTACATTTATTTCAGAAAGATGTTTTTTGAGAAATCATAATACAAATTATAATTTTGAAATAGTTTTTTAAAAATATAATAATTAAAAAAATATAAAACTTTGTTGAGGTAACCATTACATTTCTTATTAGTTAAATATAAGTATGATCAGACATCAATCAATTAAAAATGTACATATTTTTTAAATAATCAAGAAGTTTTTTTTTTTGCCATAAATTAAATGAAAATTATCACTATTACTTATCTTTTATACTCCATATACTCGAGAAATGAAGCTATATATATATATATATATCAATCTTAGTACCTCCAAAACCTAAAATTTATGGCTTATTTGTATGGCTAAAAACAGTCGCCTTATCTTTTTATAATTTCTGATTATATCTTTGTTTACCCTCATTTAATCAGTCACGTGAATAACTGTTATTTTTTTAGGATAAAAAATGTAGGCAAACATAAAAGATAGTTACGAACAACCCTAATATTTATCATTGCCAACAAGTTCAACATCGATCATCTACACTAATGACGCTCATCATCACCAACAAAGCCGATGCTTCCTATCACCACAAAGATGAATACCAACCTTCCATGCAAGGAATCAGCATGAATCATTTAATGGCTTGTTTTGATTTTTCTCAAAAAATCTATAACTTACTTCACTTCCGCACTTTTTGAGAGGCTAAAATGAGGTCATGCACAGGAGGATTGTAAATGAGAGTAAATGGAGTTGTCTACTGGCATTAGACACCCACTGTTGATAAATGTCAACGCTCATCATCACCGCTAAGCTTGAAATCTAGCATCAAGACCAACGATAACACCTGTCATTACCAGCATACATCTACCATTGACATCAACATTGATACTCATTGTTTACACCAACACTAATGTCCTTCATCTCGATCAAAGTTGATTCATGCCTTCTTGGTTATTGCTCTATCATTTTATAAGAAAAACAGTCGAACAGATTGTAACAACTTAAACTCTTAACTATCGAGATATTGTCTGTTTTGGCTAATAGCTTCACGATTTTATCCTGTTAGTGTAATGTCCCAGTAGATCACACATCCCATAATTGCTTAAAGATGATCGAGCTTAATTGCGGAGTTTCTTAATGTAATTCTAACCATTACACTAAAATGCATCTCAATATTTAAGAGTTTAGCTTATTTTATTAAATATGTTTCACAATTTTCCCCACTTAAATAACTGACATTCTCGTCAGTATTTTTATCCCAGAAGCACCACCAAACCTATAGGATTCTAGAGATGGTCCCTACAAATTCAAGTGTTGGCTCCCGTCATGTAACATTTTGTCCGATATAGGGTTCAAGAGTGGCTCCCATGGAGTAGCACTTTATCTTGCATGACAATTAGTTCCTATCTTATGGCTGGTGTATTGATCTGATATCATTTGTAACTGTCCAAACTCTTAATTATCGAGATATTGTATGTTTTAGCCTAAGAGCATCACAATTTTATTCTATTCGTGTAACTTCCTAGTAGGTCACCCATCTAAGAATTGATCCGAGTTGAGCGCGCTTAACTGTGAGGTTTCTTAATGACGACTTGATGTTTAATAGTAGCTTCTTTTACTTAAAAGATTTCACACAATCAACCAAATCTTGCTGACAATGTTTACGCCTCAAGACTCCTCCTAGTTCCTCAATAAAGGCCTTCTCCATTTCATGCAAAGTATTTCCTTTATAATTTATGACTTCCACAATTGAAACAATTTTATGAAGTCATGCCACCTGACTTATCTCATTATCGAATTTTTCATATAAAAAAAAACCTCATCGCTCTTCTCAGCTGCTTCCCATTTATCTATATGTTCAAAATTTTAGTGCAACATTAACATAATAAATAATAATTTATCATTGTCTATCATATTAAAAGCTCCAACACAAAATATATCTCAAGGTTTGGCTAACAATAGAATGTAGTAGTAATTAGCAGTCCTCTTCAGAAGGAGAAATTATTGTGTGCGAAATTTGAACGTGTTCGAAGGCGAATTCGGACATGCCACGTCACCGGGGCCTTGTGCATTTAATGACATGAGTGTACTAGTAAACAAAATAGCTCCTTAAAATTTTTATTTTTATTTTTATTTTACATGAGTGTAATATAAATTATTTTAGCATATCCAAGATTTATAAATCCTAATATATTTTTTTTTATTTTAATTTAAAAAATAAGATTATAATTTTCATTAAAAATAAAACCTATTTAATAAATAAGGCCACATGTTTATAAAATCTTGATGAGATATGCCTCCAGGAAAAAATTATAAAGTTTGGTGTGGGATGTTGGTCGATTCAAACACACCACATCACCTAATAAATAGTGCATTTGATGAATAGGCCCATTCGAATTAGCCTCTAAAAGCGGAATAATCTCTCATGCAGGAGACTTGGCACTGGTGTGCGGCTTTAGCAGGTTCCTGAAATTTAAAAAATAAAAAAAGAATCCCTTATAAAACATACAATAGAGTCCACAAAGGCAAATCTCTTCCTAAAACACCGCTTTGTATTACATATAGAAACAGAGTGAGCTGAGGCGGAGCCATGCCGAACACATCTAAGTCCCAGCCACCCAAGAAGCCGGCTCCGGTGGCGCCGCCGTCACCTAGGTCCGCGGGCGGCGGCGTTGGTGGTCAGTGCCTCTGCTCGCCGACGACGCATCAGGGTTCTTTCCGCTGCCGCTACCACCGGTCGATGTCGTCCGCGTGGCTTCGAAGGTCAAACTCGATGCCCTCCGCCGCCTCCAAATCCTCTTCCGGCGCTACCTCCGCCTCCGCCGCCGATCCCGAAGCTCAACCAGCTGAAACTCCTTGATTGCGTAGATTCCCGCATATCTTCCCTCGTATCTGATCTTTCTCTTTTTTTGTAAATTATCTTAGAATATCTTGGTGCAAAATTAAAAAATTTAAAAGTTCATTCCGATAGGTTTTGCATACGGTGATTTGCTTTTTTGAGTTTTTTCCGTATTGCTTTGCCCTTGCGATGCTTTCATGTGAGTATACGGCGAAGAAGCAGATTTAATGTATTTAATTATTTATTCATCTTTTTTCTGCAAAAAGGGTGTATTTGGGTAATTTTGACATTCAATATATTTTTTTTTCTGCAAGTGGGATAAGGTTTGGGTGTCAATTAGTAAAAGTATTTGAATTTTGTTAGAAAAAATACATTTGAATTTTCTACAAAAAAAATTTATATTTATGACCTAAGAGTGATCATTAAAAGAAAAAGTTTGCTATTAAAAGTATGGTTTACTTTATAAGTGGAAACTATTTTGCAATTACTGAAATTGTTTGGTTTCATTTGAAACTATTGATTTCAGTCAATATTCAACAGTTTTGCTGATGTTTGTTTGAAATCAAGCAAAAGGTAATTAAAACAACAAAAATTTGATCGAATTCATCAAAATTCAGCTAAAACTTAACGAAACTCAATAAAAAAATTCATCCAAAAAATATTATATTTATAACTTAAAATATTTATCTGCAAATTTTAATTTATAAATTGTTTTTTTTTCTATTTTAGATAAAAAATAATCATCAATATCTATTATTAAAATAAAAATCGAAACCAATAAATCAATTTTTTTTTTTAAATATAAAATGAAGCCAAATTTGAAAACTTTGGTCTAACTTTTTTATTTATTTAGTTGATAAAATAATTATTTAATGTAAATCAAACATTATAGGAGACTTGGGGAACCTTTAATTTTATTTATTTTTATCTGAAAGTTGAAATTTGTGGCCAATTTTCTTTTGGATATTTTTAATCTTTAATAATTGAGGCAAATGATTAATGTTAACAAACAAGTTGATATGATTTTTTTTTAATAATTTTTAATAATTGAGGCAAATGATTAATGTTAACAAACAAGTTGATATAATTTTTTTTTTAATTTCCAGCAAAAATAAATTGACTTGAACTCAGTGAAATTAATTTATTAAAAAAAATTGATTAAGTTTTAAATTAAGTTGTGTTATTGTTCCTAATTTTTATTGTGAGTTAGGTTTCTTTTGGGACATCTTTTTTATTATTTTTTAAAGTAGTTTTTCAGTATAAATTTTTTAAGCTTCAAAAATTTTTGTACTAAAAATTTGCTTTAAAAAGCTATAAAAAAGCTGTGCCAAACCTAATTTTAGGGTGATGAAAATGACATCTTCTTAAATGAAATGCATTAAATATGTTTAGAATGGGAATATTTTCACGAATGATTGCGGGCATGAGCGCATGACAACGATATCATCGAGCGCTCGCTGTAAAAATGCTGTGCCAAACCTAATTTTAGGGTGATGAAAATGACATCTTCTTAAATGAAATGCATTAAAAATGTTTAGAATGGGAATATTTTCACGAATGATTGCGGGCATGAGCGCATGACAACGATATCATCGAGCGCTCTTCCTATTGATAATTAAAAAAAAGGCATATATATGTCATAAATTTTTTTATTTATAAAATTAGATTTTAAAAATGAATGTATGAAATTCATATTAGCAACATGCTGCGATCAAATAGAATTTAATGGAATGAAAAATATTATATGATATGTGATTGTGATCTTCAAAGATTTTGATTATATTATCATAAATGTAAAAATTGAATATTATTTTTGATGTGTTTTCGGGCTAATCTTATTTGTATCTAGGCAGTTTTTTTATTGTTGGATTCATCACAATAAGGGAAAAATTATTTTAAATATTTTTTTTAAAAAATTATCATTGTTGTTGATGGCTGGCCGCTGTCAGCCTCCAATTTAATTAGGCCAATATTGACCACCACCTCTGGCTAATGTCAACCTCAAAAGTCGACCACTGTCGACCACCATCGTCTCTCACTAGGGGTGTCAATATTTGATACAAAATGAAATCCCGACTCAAATCCGACCCGGAAATTTCGGATTAGATCCGACTTGATTTCAAAACAGGTTGGGTTCAGGTTCTCAGATTCGACATGTTTGGAAAAATGGGTCGGATTTGGGTTGTCCCAGTAACTCGAACTCAATCCGCGTTAACCCGTGAAAAATCCCCTGATGAGTCAAGTGACAAACGTACAATTTGCGTCGAATCCCGTCCACATCGAGTCCTGTCCACATCACGTCCCGTCCCAGTCGAGGGCTATCCCCGTCGAGTCATGTCCGCATCGAATACCCGCTGTTGTCGACTTGTCATTGTCGACGCTGCCTCGCCTCGCCGTCTCGGGTTAATAAAATCATGTCGAGTTGGGTCAACTAGGTAACCCGACGGGTCTGGTCCGGGTTCGTGTTTTCGACCCGTTTGCAAAACCAGGTCAAATTCGGGCCAACTTATTTGAACCTGAGTTAATTTCGAGTTCGACCCGAACCCAACCCAAAAATTGAATTTGACATCCCTATCTGTCACTATCCTTGACTGCCGTCTTCAACCACCACCAACGACATGCTCTTGTTGTTGGGTTTGTTAGTAGCCATCTCCAATCACTTTTTTTTTTGGCTAAATTTAGAAACAGTAATTACTATCCTTTTTTTTACTAACTTTCTAAACCTTAAGTAATCAATACCTGATAATCCCTTTCCCTTATAAACCTTTGCCACTTTAGAGTGCTGGAAAGAAAGAGGTAGATATCTCTCATATTTCCATCCAAAATGTTAAAAAGGGCATTTAATAAAAAAAAAATCGTAAAAAAAAAAGAAAATTATTTTGATTTGCACCATCATTTTATTGATATACTCTTATGAATATTATATAATTACAATTAAAAAAAAAAACTACCACTTCAAATATAAAAGATTTATTTTTTTCATATATCCAATTAAATTAATTTTTCGAAATGAATCAAAGTGTGCTTATTGAATCTCGTTTTATGCTTTTTTAAATTAAGCAGCTTATAAATCTATCATTTTATAAGCTATGATTTGGGAGTTCTGATTATCAATAAAAAAAAAATTACTTTAAGATTTATATATGTGATATGTGTATGAATTTATCTTAATTGATCTAAATGTTCTCTGAAAAAAATATTTGTTTGACTGAGCTTGATTTCATCAACTAAAATCTAAATAAATAATTAGAGAAAATTTGGGATATGATACATAAGGATGAATATTTAAATTTTAAATTTTATTTTATGACATAATATAGAAATGGCCAATCAACCTTTATATTTTTTATTTTTGCCAATTAACCTTTATATTATACAACTTCAAAATAAATTTAGGTAGTTTAAAATCTATTATGCTTAAAATATTCTCATCAAAATTTTTAATTTCACAAAAAAAAAAAATCTCAAAGCAATTATGTTATTCTTAAAACAATAATTATCTCGTGTTAAAACTTTTTAAAACTCAAATGTTAAAGTTACATTCAGGATATGTATCTCACCGCTTTCTCACTTTTTTTTTTTAATTCCAACCACAATTTTGCTTTGTTCCTATTTTTTGCTATTTTTTAATAATTTTTTTTTAGAAATTTATATTTGGAAGCTGTTTTTTACAATCAAAATTGCTCATGTGTGATAGCTTTAAGAAAACATTGGTTTGATTTATTTAAGAAGAATATTAAAGTCACAAAAAATTCACCATGATCGAGCACGAATCTTGATTCAAATATGAATTAGAGGTTTTAAAAATTAATTTCAAGACTATCCACACCCTGATGTTGACAAGCTTATAGTTGAATTGAACATCTCGAAGATATGAATTCAACGACACCAAAATCAGTCTAATTCAAGCATAAATGAACCCAAATCAAGGGTCCAAAACATACTTGGAGGCTTCAAAGCATCAATTGAAAAACTAAATGATGGTCGAATATGTCATGCTTATAGTCGAATCGAGCGAATTGATTCGACGAGTCCAACGATCCCAAGATCATAAAATTATGATATCATTAAGGCACTTAAATGCTTGACAAATACTATATGATCAAGTAAATCATTATTAGTCATCTAATAGAACACTCTTAACTTGCCCTTGATCTTCTCCATATTTACAAGTCATACCACTCCCCAAAAACTCTAAACACACCCTCATCTTCACATGAAAGGACGGAGAAAAGAAGATGACTTAAGAGCTCTATTGAGTAGAGTTCTTCTTGACCGCCACTGGATTTCTTCCCAACCCCTGCCAGAGTTCTTTCTGATCGCCGTATGAATTCTTCTCGATCACTACTGGAATTCTTCTCGACCTTCAAATGTCACTGAGCTTCCACCAGCTCGTTGTCCACCGCCAGATCTCTTCCCAACCACCAACAACCCACAAACTTTTGCTCGTTCATCCGCCATCCATTCTAGATCAAAAGCACCTATTTGAAGTTTGACAAAATTCTTCGACATATTGTATTCAACCTGTATTTCATATTTGGAATGGGTCGATCTCTGTATTTCATTCAAGCAATATTGGAATCATTTTAATTGGGCGAGGCCCCATGGTTTTTCCCTTTTATAGGATTTTTCATGTTAAAACTCTGGTGTTCCCCAGTCTTTTTAAGTTCATATTTGTATGTTGAATTTTCGTGCATAGCCAAGGCGTAAAATATTTGCACTCTACCATCGCGAATTCCTCACCCCATAACAAATATATTCATAGCATCTACAATAACTTTAAAAAGTTATTTTTGTCAACAACATATTCATAATCATCTTTACAAAACACTGACCCTCAATTTTATCTAACAAAATCAAATAAAATTTTTTGCAGGATGAATAGATTTTTTTTCTTTGTTTATCATTATTCTTCTAATTACTTTAATAACCTTTATAGCTTCTATATATTTTTCATCTATGCTAGAAAAAATCCCAATTTTGTTTGATTTACTATTGCTAAAAGCCTAGAAGATGCAACTGATGAAAATTGTCAATGCATCACAATGCATGCATCTATGAAAGGACTCTGGCTAGAATAGCCCAATAATAGCGAACAAATTGGCAATACATCACAATATCTGCATCACTTTAAGGCCAATAATAACCAACAAATTTGTTTTGAAGGACAAGTGCACCTTTATATATAGACTTCCTGTAGTTTAGTTAAGGCTTCGCTTGGGCCGGCTTTCTTAAAGCAATTTTTTAGTATCATAATTTTAATTTTAACTAGAAATTTTTTTTTAATAATCAAT